CTACTTAATTTTAATAAATACTTATTGAAACAGACAAAAATATCATATTTTTAAAATATAAATTAAGGTATTTTTTATCTTTTTTATCTCTTAATTTTTTGAAAGTAAGACGGATTATCCCCTACTTGATAATCAAATTTAAAAAATTATGTAATTAATATTTCTTTCATTACTTTCATTTCTTTCGAATTAAATATACGGCAACATTGCATATACACCGGGCTTAGGCCCAAATGCTTAATTTTTTTTTTTTGATTATTTTGACACGGGATGGATTCGAAACCCACACAGAAAAAGAGGGAATGCATCTAGTAAACTGGTTAATGCCAATGGACCTCTAGGCCCAGGTGCGGCCCAAGTGCTTACTTAAAAATAAAAATTAAAGTCAAACTAAGGGCGGGGCTTTATCCCACCCGCACCCCTCCAAAAGAAAAGGCGGGGAAATATATAATTTTCGAAAATCTTTGGCGCTAGAAGTAGAAAAGCGTTCAACGATAGAAAATCCTGCCTGAACGAAAATCTAACATCAATTGAGGAAAACAGAGCAAAAAATTCATGCAGTCCAAAATCAATTCCTTCTTCAAATCTTCTTCTTCTTCTTCTTCTTCTTCCACCAAATCATCTGTTACTCCTCCAGTTGTTGATGATGATGAAATGGCGATATGGGTGAAGGCTGACCACGTATTCGTCAACACATATTCGCGCAGAGTGAGGAAAACGGATGGGTAAGTGAAATTTTGGTTATTTTTCATGAAAATTTGGTGAAGGTTTTTGTTTTCCCATTCCTAATCCAGTTAAAGTGGACTTGGGTTCTGTTTGGCCACTGAGAAAATTGCAGAAGAAGAAAGAAAGTTTAGTTTTTGGACTTGGGTTTTGTTTAGGGATTTTCTTTCTTTTGTTCCAGGGGAAATGTCAATGAAACCAATAGAAATTATTGAAATTATTCACTGATTGGTTGCTATGAAAATAAAGGTTCCCCACCCAACACTCCTTTTTTTTTTTTGATTTTGTTGATTTCCCATCTTTAGGGTTTTGATTGGGGAAAAGGGCAATGAAGGCAGTAAAGAATCAATCAATGATATAACCAAGAAGCTCGTCTCGGCGAATGAGGTGAATGCGTCTGGAAGAGCAGAATCTCATCTCCCTGGAAAAGTTCTCAATAAAAAGAGAAGCTATGCCCAGTTCTATTTAGAGCTAGGCCAATCTGATTTTCTTCTTCACACTTGTTCAACCTGTGGGTTTAAATATGCTTCTGGTGAAGAAGTTGATGAAAAAAATCATAACATATATCATAAGAATTACACCCATGGAATTCAGTTCAAGGTAAGCAACTGAAGCTAAAGCTGCTTATTTTGTTGGTTATAATGTTTCTCTAGTTAAATGATTGGCTGAATTTTTCAGGGATGGCACAATGAAAGGGTTGTTCATGCGCCAAATGGTGAAGGGGGTCGTGTTATTTTGGTGTTGGATTCTGATTCTGTTGCTCAGAGGAATAAGGTTTGGAAATTTTGAATATTTGACATCCAGTTTACTGGATTTTATCTGTATAATGTAGTTGATCAGTTGATGTTCATGGGGTGTTTTTGGGTTTGCTGTATTTTCAGGTCCAAGAGGTTGTAAATGTGATGGAGATTGAGCTTGGTGAAGGATGGATCTTTCATAAGTTTTGTAAGGTAGTCTAATCCTATTCATTATTGGCATGTAATTACAGGAACATATTGGAATTATATTTCATTCTATAGTAAAATTTTTTGGTCTTCGTTGTTTGAATTATGTCAAGTGACAAACAATCTCACATCGAGATAATAAGGGGAAACACATGTGCTTAACTATAAGATGGACTACCCTATATGAGGAGGGCAATTTAAGTGACACAATCTTATTGATTTTTGGTTGAATGCTTATGTTGTGTTTAGACCCACATGCATTTTTCACAATGTATTTCTGTATTTCAAATTCAAAGTTGTTTCAGGGGTTGAGAATTTTTCTGGTATCCATGGTTGGCTTGAGATGACGACCATCATTTCCTCTGTTGATTTTGATTTTTCTTATCCAACTGTTTGCAGGTGTATTTTTTTGTCTCCTCACATAGGATTGCTGGCTGTCTAGTTGCTGAACCCATAAAGGAAGCATTCAAAGTGGTGTCGTGCTCGGTCAGTGAAAGACATCACGGGGTTGAAGCGAAGAAAAGATCAAACTCAACCACAATCCAGTTTGGAAATATAATCTTGCAAAGGGAAGTTGTCAAAAGAGCTCCTGCTAACTGCTCAGAGTTAACAGACGCAAAGAACTGCGGAGCAATTGTGTGTGAAGAAGATGCTGTACCTGCAGTTTGCGGCGTTAGAGCAATCTGGGTCACTCCCAGCAACAGAAGAAAGGGCATTGCCACGCATTTGCTTGATGCTATGAGGTAAATTTTCCTTAATATTCTATTAACTTCAACCTCTGCTCAATGACATCTTCAACAGGTCTTTCTTTGGTTTTTCATGTGCAATTTCCAGTGTTGAACGTTCCCTTCTAAAATGCAGGAAAAGTTTCAGTATGGGGTTGGCGCTGGACAGAACTCAGTTGGCATTCTCCCAACCAAGCTCAGCTGGAAGGGCATTGGCATCCAACTATACAGGCACTGGATCGTTCCTAGTGTATAAAACCAGCAATTTGACTCAGTAGATTCATTCGTTTTTAGCAGAGAAGAAGATGAATCATTCTTAGTTTATTTACATTTTATCCACAACTTTGTCCCTTTAATGAATCATTGTTCTCTGATCTCTACATTTACAGCATTTTGTTTATGTATAAAATATTTGCCACTCTATGAATACTATATAACATACAATCAGTGTTGTTTGAATAGAGTTGTTAAGTTGAAGAAATGGGATTCGGTTCAGAAACAGAAAACCATCTTTCATTCTGTGAGAGGCCACGAGAAATGAGTATCGAAAGGAAATTCATGGGTAATTAATGTCAAACGGTTACAACGGCAACAACTGCCAATGAATAAACAAGACTTATTTCAAGAAAAAAAAAAATCTTGAATTCTGTGAGAAACCGAACGATGTTAATCTTCTGTTTTGCCAGATCAAAATGGTTCAAAATCATGAAGAACCAACTTCTGTTGCAAAGTTTTTCAAGTTTACTTCCTAAGCACCTCTTTACCATTAGTTTCCTTTCCTGATAAGCAGTCTTCTTCATCAGCATCAACAGAAAAATAGGAGCTAAATACTTTGAAAACTTGTTCATATACAGGCTTCCTGAAATCCCCAGCCTGCGCAAAATAATTTTCAAACATAAGGAATGATGACATACGCTATCTGGTTCATAAACAAATACCTAATAAGCCATACTCACAATCTCTAGCAGTTGTTCAGGTAACCTCCATGACCATTCATTAAATTCTGGCTTCTCAGATCCATCACCCAAAAGATTTATCTCTTCCTCTTTTCCAGTAAACTTATAAAGAAACCTGCATTTCCATGCATATCAAAGACAGTCACATGGATGAGGAAGAAGACTTGTGTAAGAAAGCACAGCACAAGAAAAGGATATAATGGCACTTGAAAACGGGAACCAAGCAACCATCAATAATTTTACAGCAAACAGTGAGCTTTTAATTGGATACAAATTAGAAGTATGAAAGAGTAATCAGAAGTTTGTTCTCTTGACACCCAACTAACTTTGTCATAACTGTGATCATAGCTTAGAAACATTTATCTCCTTTCTACTAAAATTTCATAGACAAGAAAAAGTTGAGAAACAGGTTTTAGGGAAACCAGAAAGAAAGGACCACAGGGAAAGGATAATCTGTCATCAGACTTGAGTTTTATCATAAACACAAAGCACAAAACAACGCTTCATTCGGATTGGATTAGACAGCAAAGACAGGGAAAGCCAAAGGAATAGGTGTGATCAATGTGACAGAATCAGACTTCTCTCAGGAAAGCAATACAAGTTTAGCTAACAAAGCAACCCAATACATGAAGCAGATTTTTAAAGGTCAGAGGGAGGGAATCCTTACCACTTCTGTGCTTGACCTTTATAATTTGACCCCCATCGACGATTAAGTTTGATTCTGATTTGGCTTGGGAAATCATAAGTAAGCCAATAAGGTGCCTGCGCATCCAATGCCAGAACCCTTTTAGTGAACTATGATAAAACAATTGAACAGATTCATGGTTTGATATGTGATTCATATTTAACAAAGCAAAAATCAAACATACTTCTGCAAGAAATTCAGCTGAGGTAACCCCAGTTTCTTCTCTCAATTCCCTCATGGCTGCCTTTCTCAAATCTTCCCCCTCGTCAGCACCACCCTGTTTAACACAACAATGTAATTAAGGCCAAGCAATTCGAGATAAAGAAGACTCCACTTCCAGGGGATTTGATAATAGATATCAACCATATTCAGACTTGCACAAGATTAGAAGAGGATTAAGCATTTTGATCTCAATCCATTCAAAATTTAATTAAAATTTTCATCTACAGATCTAAAATCCTAAAACCCAACCATTAAAATCCAATCCAAACATCCAGAAGAACAAAACCCAGAACACCATTCACCTCTACAACAAAATTGAAAAGGGAAAAGAAGGAACTAAACCTACCTGGGGCATTTGCCATGTGTGCGGAATTCGTATCCTCGACCCCGTGAATATCTACAAATTCAAGCAACATTTCAACAGAGGACCAGGGCAAGATTCATACTTCCGAATACATCGATGAAAGAAATCCACAGAAAGAGAGACGCGAACCTCTTTCGAAGTGTTGACGAGACAAATCCCGACATTTCTTCTGTAACCTTCCGGAGGAATCTCCGTGGATAACGCCGCCGGAATCGATAACGCGAAAGAGACTCGCGAAGGTTTCGCCAGTGGCAACGACGGCGGCGGCGGCGGCAGCAGCACGCCCAGTCCTAGACCATTGCTGAACTCGCGAGGGCAGTTTCGACAATCCACCCGAAAAACAACGGAGTTCCCCAGCGATGCCATTTACTACGTCGTCGTTTTGATACCTCCTCTCCCGTCCCTTCCTTGAGCCCCAAGTTTAGCGCTCTATAAAATCGTCGGACATTAAAACTCTTCTACAAAACGCCGCCCAAACTCCCACCCCGCAACTAATATCTCTTCTTCTTTTTTCTATTCCCAAAATGCCCCAACCGCCTTACCAAATTTACTATTTCAGACCTAGAAGCTTAAACCCCGCTCCCTGTATATAAGGGCCCTTCCCCTTCTACCTCTTCCATTCTCCATCCTTTGTTTTTTTTTTTTTTTTTGCTTTTTTTTTCCAGAACAACAATCAAGTTCGTC